GGCTTAAAAGCCTTGCAATGTGGACACACAAAGTTCATTGGTCTAATATGATTTACTGTAAACTGTAATCGATTGTTACGTTGTAATTAAATGCAGCTCGATAGGGATTAAAGGGGACATTTCTGCGTTGTTCATATCGATTTCGTTAACTTCGTTTTCCGCTTCGCTGTGCTCGTCAGTTTGACTTACTCGTATATACCGGGTGGTGCACGGTAAGTAGGAACATAGGGATTTAACATGGGAAATTAGTTTTATGCAATATACTGCCCTCCTGTACATTTTACAGAAAAAACTGTAGAGTTTAAAGTTGTTCAGAATTAAAAGGTGCATACAAAACTGTTTTTACATGTTCTATTAAACTTTTGGTATACCCGCAAATTTAAAAATAAATGTCAACATTTCTGTTATTAGTATAGCAATTCATCAAACAACAAAAGTCATGGCTATTGCTACTAATAACAGAAATGTTGACATTTATTTTTAAATTTGCGGGTATAGTTGACGCCAAATTAAGTTGGGTATGACTCATTCTTAAAATTGTACGGATTAAGATTCAAGCAACGTCAGTCGTAGCTAAATCGACGTTTAGTTAATATGCGTACGGGTAGATGTCTCTGTAACTTGCTAACTTCAAGTTCAACTTTTAATCTGTCACTCGCTTTCTTATATGTAGCAGAAACCGTGTTTATGCTCACTCCACAGGCTTCTGAGGTGCGCTAAAGTTGACGTAACATTAAACTACTCGTATTAAGTATTTTAATCGATTGCCTACCTGCATAACAGATTCAAATGGAACCATTGCGCCCTGATTATCTCGTTCTCTTTCAAAAGAATTAAGCACATTCATGACAAGAAGTTGAGCCTGAGACTTAAGATTTTATTTCGCAGCATTTTAACCTATAAACCAAACATTTTTAATTTCACAATTTCATATGCAAGTTGTTACAATTTACCGATTAAACTCACCACAAGTGCAAAGTAGTTTTTAAAAAAACTGTTTCTTGATGTATTGAAGTAAAAACCTAAAAATAAATGTTAACAAGGTAAACACGAAATGACAGAAGAAAAGTTGAGGAATGCGCGACATACGTTTTAGACCGCCCATATGAATTGCACAGCAGATTCAAGTTACGAATTTCTATCCTTCTCTAGCAACCGTCAATCTGTGTGAGAGGCACCGTTCCATACGCTAATTATTGCAATACATAGCGATGAGTCATACCCAACTTAATTTGGCGTCAACTATATACCAAAAGCTTAATATAAAACATGTAAAAACAGTGTTGTATGCACCTTTAATTCTGAACAACTTTAAACTCTATAGTTTTTTTCTGTAAATGTACAGGAGGGCAGAATATTGCATAAAACTAATTTCCCATGTTAAATCCCTATTCCTACTTACCGTACACCACCCGGTATGTTTGACTTGTAGGATTACGAATTCTGCGACCTAAGTTGGTACCTACCTACCATCTTGGTACGTCTAATTAGTAGCATCTTGAAAAAACTTAAATTCAACTGAAAATAGAAATTAACTCCCTAGTGTTTCTGTATAACTATGTATACCACGTGTTTAGTCTATCAACACTTACCAAAAATGAATATTGGGTAGGTATATCAAACTTTTAATATAAAAGGCGTGAATGCGGTGAAATAGCATCGACATTTCTCAAAAAACTCACTGAAATCTGGATAAACTTTCCGATCGAATTGACAGCACACAAATTTTTTGACGGATATATGCCGATCGATGTAGCTGTTAAAACAATTGCTGCCGCACCGTCAAACGCGCGATGTTTAAATAGTCGTTAAGTTTTCTCCAATTTTCTGCGCGATTTCCTTAGTTTTTCTTGCCGTAAGAACCTCTACACAGTATTAGAAAACTTAAAAAAAAAAAAATGAATGAAATCGGTAAGGTCGTTCTAAAGTTATTGCGTGACCAGAAAAAACAGGGGTTCATTTTTATATATAGAGATAAAAGATTTTGTTAGTACATACCTGTGTTTAATTTAACAACCTGGACCGGTGCTTATTGGTGGTTTGGCAACCGTTTGCACATAGCAATATGTAGTCGTCCTTTGTCGATCTAATAGAAAGAACATAGAAAGAAATATTCTCAACTATTTGTAGGTATGAATGCAATTATGTCGATGACGCTACACCAGTTACCTCAGTCAACGATATGTTTTTAACATTTACAGTGGCAGGCATTTGCCTTTCCGATATCTGATTACCCACTTTTTCAAAACTTCATTATATGTTGTGTTCATACGGATTATTTGATGAGCTCATTGTAGGTACTATTGTCCCTTTTATTATTGTATTAAACTGATTCTGTTTTGAAATTGGCCTTTACCAGAGACCCTAGTTGCCATAGGCGGCTGGAATTTCACACTAACTTACCGTAATACAAAAGCTCACTAAATAAAAATTGAAACTACTTAAAATAACCGCATAGAACGCGAAATGACTAAAACAACGTTCCGAAGATTAAAAGCTTTCATCAAAGGACTAGAACGTAAGACATAATACTAATTCTTTACGATAAAGAGCTACTTTCGAGTCCCAAAATACTGATCATACCAGCCTAACCACTCTGATGATAAGGCCCACAGAGGCGCACAGTGATCATAATGAAAAACACGATGAAATACTATGAACTAAGAGGATATCAAAGTCATTCAAGCATCTATAGTCTAACTGTGGAAGAATGGCAGGAACCATTGACAATCTCGGTCATGACAAGTAAAAATCTCAAGTATTGTTCAACAGGAGAACTCACTTATTGACCTACCCCCAAAAATAAAGTGCCAGATCTACTGGACTTTGGCGTCAATGCAATTAAATCCGCCCAAGTGACATTTAAAAAGCGAAAAGGGAACTGCTCACCCATGACACGAAATAATCGCCGACTCCCCGCACCATGATGAAGCAAGATAATTAGAAATGTATCTCGACAGAAGCGACTCACATGGAGACTACTGAACGAAGATCGAAAAATTCCGGTTACAAATTTGACAAGCCGACATTTTTGAACGTAATAGTAGGGGAGCTAGCACGAAATCCACTGAACGAGAATGATCAAAATTTTAACCGATGGAGTTCCATTTTGCGCTATCAGAATATGCTAAAATCGATCGTCTGCCACCTCAGGTCATATGACTTAAGGCGCTGCGGGTACTTCTTGCGGTACCAATTCTGAAAGGTTGTTTTTCGAGAAAATAAGTTATACACCAAATGAAAACGTTGATAATAGCTCTTAAAAAAATATTTAAAAAAATCGCGCACATTTGATAACTCCGTAAAAAAACAATTCTTAGTCGGTTTTTAACGAAATTTCTACGGATATAACTAGGTTACGGTTGGACGAATGAAGCTGATTTTTTTTACAGACTAATGATAGGCACAGCCAATGACTATGAGAGTGTTTCTTTTTTAAATTTTTTCTCTAATTATAAGATATCTTATAATGTTAAGATAATAAGATAATCTTATAATTAGAGAAAAAATTTAAAAACGAAACACCGTTACGTCATTAGTAGTACCTATCATCAGTCTGTAAAAAAAATCAGCTTCATTCGTCCAACCGTAACCTAGTTATATCCGTAGAAAGTTCGTGAAAAACCGACTAAGAATTGTTTTTTTACGGAGTTATCAAATGCGCGCGATTTTTTTCAATATTTTTTTAAGAGCTATTATCAACGTTGTCATTTGGTGTATAACTTATTTTCTCGAAAAACAACCTTTCAGAATTGGTACCGCAAGAAGTACCCGCAGCGCCTTAAGTCATATGACCTGAGGCGGCAGACGATCGATTTTAGCATACTATGATAGGGCAAAATGGAACTCCATCGGTTAAAATTTTGATCATTCTCATTCAGTGGATTTCGTGTTAGCTCCCCTACTATAAAGTAACAATAAATAATGCGTCCCACAGGGTTAGTTTTTGAACAAATTCCTTGCCCCAGTTATCGTTGGTGTACGCAATATTTAGCAGGAATATGCTCTTTCGTTTGATGTTTTACTTGAATCTCATCGTAAGTAAATTATTTAGTAAGGTATGTGTGAGATCCTTCGAATAGTTTCCCTCATTCTTGATCAATCTCCTAGGAGTGGATTCCTCCAAATATAATATGTAATGGGTTGGGTAATGACTGTTCGATTCAATTCTTAGTCAGCATGTTGTGTGCTATTAATTAACCGATATGGCACGCAACCAAATCAAGCATTTGAAATATACAAGGAGCTTCATGTAAGAGTGAAGGTAACATCCTTTAAAAAATGATAGAGAATTGACAGAGAAGGAAAGTGAAGTAGGCATGACGTGAAGGAGAAGTGAAGGAGCAGGTGTAAAGGCAGCGTGCTAGAAGTGATAGCAGACGTAAGGGAAAGAGCCGAGGAGGAATCTGGATTAAACAATGAACCATTGTTTAATCCAGATTCCTCCTCGGCTCCAATAGAGTTAAAACATGAGGCGTCAAACAGATGAAAAAAAGGTGACGTGGGGAACGGGGACTAAACAGTGTGACAGGAGAAGAGATGAAGGAAGTGTAATTGAATGACGGATGCGCAAAGAAAAGAAAACTTGAAGTAGAGGTGAGGTATGGACGCTGAAGTAAAAGTAATGTATGAAAGGATACGTACAGTAGACAGGAAGCTCACATGGAAGTGTAAAACGCGTACGACAAGGAGAGATTACTAATAGAAATGTTAAACAAAATGTGAAAGTGAGTGTTGGGAACACTTCAAGAAGTGAGCTTAAATTATCGTCTGTCAGTGGGGATATATCTTTGATTATATATAACTGTGATATAATCATTGAATAAAAAATTATTATTCAATGACATAATCAAAGGGATATATTACTATAGTTCTGTATCCAGACAGTTTTATAAGTAATTAACTATAGGCTGCACATCACATTACTGGCGCATAGAAGTTGCCTACCACATGTTTATCATGATTTGTAAAAGTTAAATATTGCCACGACGATAATGACATGAATATGTGGCCTTGATTGCTTATTACCACACTATGTTCCTCTTCTGGTATTCGTTAATCAATCGTGGCGTTGCTCAGTGTTTACTTTGTGTTCCACAAATCACATACAAAGATTTGTGGTGTTCCATATCGATAAGGGAAATCAATCACTGAGTCGATATCTGTTATCTTATCGCGTCCTTGCATTGATATGACAGTTTGAATTTGTATTTTTCACTCGACAAACTCGTAAGTATATCATTATCCTCCGACCTTTAATCGTTAAAACGTTCACAAACGTTAACTGTCTGTCATAACCTGACAGGGAGAATTTACCTACTACCACCTTACTACCTAGATAAGTTTGTTAATAATGGAAGTACCAACCGCATTAGAAGAATTATTTAAGTATGTCGGTATTACATTAAACGTAGGTACCTCTAATCTAACAAATCTGATTTGCAGATATATCGACAAAAACACATCTAGATACATAGAAACTCTTCGAGAAGCAGTGGCTATTCGTTCGGTATCTTCATTGGAAGAATGTCGCGAGGAAACTTGCAAGATGGTAAATTGGACGGCGGGTCATTTACGCAAGCTTGGAGTTGAAGTTTGCCTAAAAGAGATTGGAACGCAGGTATTTCCAAGTGGGAACGAAGTGAAATTTCCACCTGTGCTGTTAGGTACCTTAGGAAATGATCCAAAGAAAAAAACTATTTGCATATATGGACATTTGGATGTTCAACCTGCTTTAAAAGATGATGGGTGGAACACTGAACCATTTGAGATGGCAGAATGTGACGGCAGATTGTACGGAAGAGGCGCGGCCGATGATAAAGGTCCAGTTTTGGCATGTATTCAAGCTATAGAAGCGTTTCAAGCAGTTCACGTTGAGTTACCGGTGAATATTAAAATTTTGTTCGAAGCTATGGAGGAATGCGGAAGTCTTGGGTTGGAGGGTTTAGTCACAAGCGAAAAAGACTCATTTTTTAAAGACGTCGATTATATTTGTATTTGCGATGGTTCCTGGCTCGGTAAAGACACCCCATGTATTGTATACGGTTTGAGAGGTTGCTGCTTCTTTCGACTGACAGTTGAATGCGCTTCCCAAGATCTGCACAGTGGAGTACACGGCGGCATGGTGTAAGTACAACCGTAAAAACCCTTTTGTACATACTCTTCCTTTTAATAGACACGAAGCCATGGCGGACTTGACTTACTTATTAAGTAGTCTAACTGACAAAGATGGTAGACTATTGATAACCGATATTTATAACAGTGTCCCTCCTTTGCATGCAGGTGAACAAGACATATATACCAACATTGATTTTGATACTTCCGTATACGGTAACGATATTGGCGCAGTAAAGCTGCTCCGGCAAGATAAAGCGGATCTTTTACTGAACGGTTGGCGTTATCCCTCTTTGTCCATTCATGGAATAGAAGGCGCCCACGGGGAATTCGGTTTGAAATGCGTTATACCTGGAAAAGTAACTGGAAAATTTTCAATACGAATTGTTGAAAATCAATCACCGGAAGAAGTTAAAAAGTTAGTCACCGATTACCTCACAAAGAAATGGCAAGAGCGGGGAAGTGCTACTAGAATTATGGTTTGTGGTAGTTTTAAGTGTTCTTCATTTTTTATGTATTTGGCTAGGTGACGATGACGGCCTCGGCATTGCCGTGGCACGAAGATCCACACCATCCGCATTATTTAGCCACACAAAAGGCAACTAAGTATATATATAAAAAAGACGGAGACTTAATTCGCGCTGGTGGAACAATGCCGATTATAACAACGTTAAAGAAAATTACGGGTAAAAATATAATCAATGTAGCATTGAGCGCAGGAGATGATAACATACATGCTCAAAATGAAAAGATAGATAAGAACAACTACATTAGTGGGGTAAGAAGGTTTGATATTATACAGCCTGCTTCAGAGTAAGCGCCTTATTTTTTTAGGCACACTACTTTCAAAATATTTGGTAGTGATGTTTCAGAACGTGTAGAGAACACGATGGTGATATCAGATTTTCAATTAGACGAATTATTTCAAAATGGGGACTTTCAACTTGTTTTTCTTAAATGGATTGCAATAATTTTTTTAATTATTCAGATCCAAAAACATTATTTTTACGATAGTATTTTGTTTTTCTTAAAAATTCATTTCTTTTCCTATCAAAAAGTAAACCAACATTTAATCTTGTACACTCGATGTTATTTTCGTCCATTTGGACAAAAATAACATCAAGTGTAGAGCATTCAGGCACTAATAGATTAAAATGTTGTTTGCTTTTTGATAGGGAATGAGATGAAAAATCAAATGCTATCGTAAAAATAGTGTTTTTAGGATCTCAATAACACAAAAACAAGTTGTAAATCAGCATATGCATGATTAAAGCGCATTTTTGGTAATACCAATCAGTATTTTATTAGCGAAGTTAAAAATTATCTATCTCATAAGTAATCTAATTCAAAATGGACTAGAGCCTGCACATCTACACTATAACAGAAAGCTTTTAGTGAAAATTTAAAGTCTAGCAATTTGGGATCTCAGCCGGATAGCCAGCCAGCCAGCTATTACGAATATAATAGCGTTACACTAAAAATAATAGCAGAAAAAAGTTGAAAGTCGCAATTTTGAAATAATTCGTTCATTTGAAAATATGATATCAACATCGCGTAGAGAATGTCCTGAAACATATTACTGCCAAATATTTTGAAAGCAGTAGGTACCTACCTATAGTGTGGCTAAAAACAATAAGGTACTTACTCTGAAACAGTCTGTAGTTTTTATTAATTACTTACAGAATATAATTTCAGACTAAATTCATGGCGGCTTATTTATATGAAGTCTCACGTATAGAAAAATAATGCAGCACTGTGGAATTGTTAAATAAAATTACATTTACACAAAATGCCTGTGTACAGTATTGAGTTATAATATTAATATAAATATAGGTACCTATATAAAAGCCTTGATCCTCCTCTTAAAGATTAAAAACGACGGCCATACGGTCGCCCCCCTTCCCCCAATGGTTGTGGTTAATTCCTGCTTGGGATATAATTTTACCACAGTCATCGGACCTAGACTAAGTATATGGTTTCAGATTATAGGTCGCTGTAGAATTGGTTACAGGCACAGTATTTCACCATAGCTTATTACTCAGATATTAAAGTGTGGTGTGTGAAATATAAACCAGAGCTATTTTAGGATAGTTGGAAGACTCGCACACGACAATGGGTTTCGGTAGGTACCTCGCGTCGTAAGTCACGAATTTTTGCATCTCGTATTTATCCATTTTCTCCAATCAGCGATGGGTACACAATGTTGATAGTAAACTAAACTTGCTTCAAAGAAATTGCAGAAATTAAAAAATCCCAAGAATTTAAAACGGAATGAATTTGCAACACCAATAGAAGCGGAAGTATTCATAGAATAAAAAGAAGGGTTAGAAGAATGGGAATAATCTGACACATCCAAAGCATGCGAAGTAGTCGAAGAGTGCGGACAATTTAAAAACAATAAAGTCTCTGAGTCTATTCTAAAAATTGCAAAATGGGAGAAAACTCACCCGTGCATCTAATGCGGTTCTGTTTTTTTTTATTGTTTTGTTCCTCCAAAGCATTTTACGTCCTAGATTGCTTAAACTTTTTTCTGGTGGCATGTGAACAAACATCTAAGGCCCCCTTATAGTAGGGGAGCTAGCTCGAAATCCACTGAACGAGAATGATCAAAATTTTAACCGATGGAGTTCCATTTTGCCCTATCCGAGTATGCTAAAATCGACCATCTGCCGCTTCAGGTCATATTATTGTAATAAAGCCTCCACTAAAGCTTAGGCCGTCACGATCGCCTCATAATATTATGGAAACAGTAATAAGTACGGTAGCTTTTATTAGATATGTGCAATACATCCTCCCCTCATGACATCGCAACACTACTCTCTGCTTCCGTCCGCGCCTGCGCTAATTTTTAACTCCGGTTACATTATTTAAGGCGCTGCGAGTACTTCTTGATTTCCGAGCAATATACACAGATGGATCTAAAACGACAATAGTGTACATAGGTACTGGAAGCACCATTTATACCTACGGAAAAAATATATTCCTGGATTTTGCATAAACAAGCAAGAAGCAAGTGTATTAACGGTCGAACTCGACGCAATCTGGCATGCGCTATTGATGTGTTCTCATAGCCATGAAAACAAATACTTACATCAGTACCATGCATCATATGTTCGGATCTTAGACCATATAGTACATGGACTGCCAATTGTAACTAAAATATGGTCAAGGACATCGCCTGGGTATGTGCGTTTCAGGGTAAACGAGTCTGTCCGAAATTGTCCGTTGAGACACGATTTGAGGCTGTCAACCTATAAATTCACAAACGTCAATTAATTAATAGTGTAGATATGGCAAAAAAAGCAAACCTATTCTTATTTGTGGACGTATAGAAGATAATCAGGAGTATTTAAAGCTNGACATCGCCTGGGTATGTGCGTTTCAGGGTAAACGAGTCTGTCCGAAATTGTCCGTTGAGACACGATTTGAGGCTGTCAACGTATAAATTCACAAACGTCAATTAATTAATTGCCTAAAAAAGCAAACCTATTCTTATTTGTGGACGTATAGAAGATAATCAAGAGTATTTAAAGCTTCCCGTACTACGCTGTTACCATAAAAGCTACTTTTTACGCGATCCGAGTGGTGTTCATACGACTTTAGTTTACCCTGAGATTCACATACCCCATAGATATATAATATATATAATATATAAATCTGATAATTTTCTGTGTGATTTGTGCTAACAATTTGATTGACAGTTATAATAAATAATGCGAATCTTGTCTTCCATGCTCAGGGTACCTCTATAAAGGATAGCGCTATACGTAATTAATGTGCCGAAAGTGATGGTAATAGATGGTACGTCCTTTTGAACTATGTTGGGGTATGGCTGTATCTATGTATTTATATATCTATGACATACCCACGACTACAGTGCCCTCTATCCGTGACCACCCATTTTGTATTGAAAGCATAGGTCTAATAGCAGTCCATGTACTATGGTCTAAGGTTCGGATTCATTCAACGGGAAATTTTTGTTGATGAGAAAGTGCAATAGAAACATTAATGAAATACTAATAAAGGAATCTAAAATCTAATAGTACAGTAATTAGTGAAGAAATAAAGGCAATTGACCATTATGACATAGCAGTGGAGCGAAAAACAAAAAACATGAAAATTATAATAAATTATAATAAAAATTATATAATTAGGTACTTACATGTTTCCTGTCCATTTCTATTATGCAGGGTGGGGCAGAATGAACTCCGTAGCTTCAAACAATCACTGAAGAGCGCGTAGGTGAGTAGAGTGGGAATAGTGGCGTTAGCTGGGGCTGGAGACATTTTAACTCCCCAAAATAGAAGAGTACAGTGAGGAATATGACACACAAACGTTATGGATGGTGTCACATACTGCCGGTCGTTCTTGGAAAATTCTCCAAGAACAGTTTCTCGGCCGCCTGATTTCTTTACTTGTTCCCCTGATTTGAGCTCGTGCGATTTTTTTCTTTGGGGATATCTGAAAGCTGAGGTTTATAAAGTTCGATCTAGGACTTTGGAGGCTTTTAAGGAGGCAATACAGATGTCATAGCTGGAATAACGCAAGATATGCCGAAAAGAGTTTATAGAATTTTTGTCGAACAACTCAATATGTGCATCGCTCGCCACGGTCATCATCTGGATGATATAATTTTTAAAACCCAATAAAAATAAAATGGCATTGTATAATTATATTGGTTAGTTTTTTTACAATAAACCCTTCACATCAGGAAGTCCATTCTGCCCACCCTGTATATTGAAAACCTGCTTTCACCTAACTTACAAACACAAAAAAAGACGAACGTTGGTTATAATTGTGATGGTACGTATTTATAAACTTATAATTAAAGGAAACGAAGCTATAAATTAATCGCACTTAACCATCCATTGAAAATATCATATTTTGGTTATGCCTAAATTGTCATTATCCTGGTTTCAAATTCTATCGTATTCTCATAGCTATACTAAATTACTAAATACTAGGGAATTCGAAGGTGTAAAATAGGTACTTTAAATATATTAAATAACACTTCTTATTAAAGGATTTGTATGTGGTTTTATGACGTATTAAATCGTATATTAAACAAGTATCTAAAACTAAAAAGTCTATTAAATAAATATTTCAAAGATGTTAAAAATGTGTGTCTAATATAAACTTATATTTTATATGTATAAAAAATATTCTTTAGCTGTGTTTATTTTGTCTGGCAGGATGAAATTTTTGGAAATCTTAATTAAGATGGACAAGGGCGGTCCTCTTTTTATGTAATTAACATTTGTAGATAAACTTTATTAATTTGTCGTTCGTCTATGTAACGGCATGCATGGGGATTATTTGTGTCATACGAGAAAGTGGTTGTGGTTGTTTTTGTTTACATTTTTATTTTATCTAAGGTAGAAATTTCTGGGAATTTTGATTGGTCTTTATCTGTTATCAATTGTAGATGCTTAACTTAATTGACAGGTGGATGTGATTTATCATTTATCGCCTTTTCTGTGTAGTTAAGAGATATGAAATGTTATTTTTTCCTATAATTTAAATCTCTCAATGTCTGATAACAAATTAATTTATAAAAATTAATCGACCTCTATCTTTTGGTCTATTAACGTACGTTAAGGGGATAGTCTTTGTTGTCAACTGTGTATTATTGGTTGTTGTAATTTTGATTTTCGGAAGAAAAGTTTTCGCCTTAAATAGGAAGTGAAATGGAAAAGCGTCGCTTTTAGTCACAGTCAAGAGTCAACGCAGAACTACGTTTCGTTGAAGTTTTTAAAATCGGCTTTACGCCAAGTTTAGGGCCAAAGTGCGGCCAATTTAATTCAGCTCTTTGCTACGTCAGCACCGAATTACGTTTCGTAGAAGAATTTATTTCGCTTCTTGCGAATTTCATTGTACCATTTTGCTTGTCTGTGTAAATCGTACTTTTGTAATTGTCACATTAATTTTCCGTGTGTTTCATTCTAATGACATCATTTCTAATTTACCTGTGTTTTTTATTGGATGCTTGCCCAAGGTCCATTTTAATTATTCAAAATTTTGCAGTTCAGTTTGGAGTTTAAGGTATTTGGTCTGACCGCAATCTGTTAGAAGTTAACAGGTTAACTGAGAGCAGAGTCGATTTCTCTCGCTGTGCTGAGGAGAAGTTTTGTGCCGTGATACTAAATAAAGGTAAAGAGCTAGCTAGGTTTCTGTTTTGGTGTTTTGTGTACGGTCTTTCTGGCCTACGGATGGGTGCACACAGCAGTATTTTATATATATTTGTGCTACTGTTTGGCAAACCTATTTTAAAATGTCAAATTAACATCTGTTATAGCAAAATATTTTTACCGATACTTTTAATTCTTCAAAATTTTGTAATATGTGGCAAGAATTACGTTTAAGAATACAAAAATCTCTCAATAGATGTTAGTTAAAATTGGAAAAATTAATGGGTAAGGTTGCTTATGATAGTAATCCTTTACATAGTAGGGTTTTGGAGGGTATTGAAGGTGATTAATGAATATTTAATCCTTTTTTTAAGAGCCAGAGAACTGAGTGCTGCATTATAGAATAATATGATCCAGAACCATTATTTTCATATTAATTTAATTTAGAAGGCAAACAAAGCAAGCTCTCCTCGTTATGTACCTACTTTAGTAAGAGATAATTTCCTTATACGCGGCTTTTATTGGGTTTTTTATACGAACTAAGCTCCATTTTTGTGCGATTAAATTTTATAGAATTTCTCACGGTCGACGTTTACTGGATTTTTCACGATTAAATTTTATGGAATTCTATGCTTTGTACTTTTTAGTAACGGACTAGGATTAATAACACTATCGACGTTTATAAAGAATAAACGAAATTGTAAGAAAATGCG